GGACCAAATCACTACTTTACTTTAAAATTCATGACCCAATTTTTTTTACAGTGTCATTTCACCCCCCTAGTTACTATTTGAGTCATAAAACATGGAGAAATAAATTTGGAAGGGGTATAAAAAAAATCGACAAGTAACACACTGTCCACACTAGGGACTATATTCGTGGACAACGAAAATCAAAGGACGATAACTGTGTACCCGGACCAACTAGTAGGTTATTTAACCGGAACTAACGATCATTTATATCATATAAGTTCCTCAATTGTTTCACAATACAGTGCTTAATTCTATCCATATCACCAATTTTTGATAACACAAAACGTCCTTTATCAGAAATGAAAAAACTAAACTTCTTTAGAAAAACAATTTGGCAACCAGATTCATTCCAAAAAGAGGGAACTCTTTAATCCAAAACTGGACCCGCAATTCAATTTAAAATATCATTTTATTGAAACTTAATCCGAGTAACCATTTAAACAATGTTTTGTAGAGAGGAGCATTAGAAACGGCTTAAAGTAGATTTGTACAAAATGTAAGAAAATTAGTTCAAGGAAATAATACTATCCAATTAATCTAGCAATAAGTTGAATAGTACTTTTTGTGACACAACTACAAAATTTGAAAAAAAAATGTAATTAAAAAATTATTTTTTAACGTGATTATATCCTGCAGAGACAAAAGCCAGCTTTAATATATTCAGAATGCACACATGACAACAAATTTCAATTTTTTTTTCATAAAAAAAAACAGCAACTTACCTTATCAGTTTGGTGATTGATAAATGATGAAATTGATGTTTAATCGTGTTTATTATATTATTGACAAGCATGCTAGCAACATATAAGCCTTACCTTGAAATAAATACTTAGATGTTGATTGGTAAAAGTATATTTTACATTTAAACAAAATTTTCATCTCTATCTTCTTTTATCGTCTTCGATTAATTTACAGTACAGAAAGGAAGATTGATTATTCTGTTGGTAAAACAAACATGTATTTTGAAGAGATAAGCCCAAAACGTCATAAATAAGTACAATCTGTCGATACCTGTATCTTGGCATTGCACAAGGTCATGTTTATTCTCTGACTGTTTATGACGTCTTTACACTAAATCCATTGGATATTGGATGTGAACTGATTGATATTTTGATCTTAGATTCAAGATTGTTTTTATTAGTTGTTATTGGATTTCAACTAGCTGCCAGTAACTGCGAGTACTCTCAGATCTCTACTTAGTGTCTTTTTGTTGTGGGGATTTATAAGTATCAGAACACGTCCAATCTGTGTTTTTGTTAGATGTATTTCTATTTGTATCCGTCTTATGGGTTAAGCCGTTTCAACTGATTTTTATAGTTTGTTTTTATGTTGTACACCGCTGTCCCAGGTTTAGGTATGGTTGGCGCCTTCAAATAAGTTTATCCCCGCCACATTCTGTATGTTCCTGTCCCAAGTCAGGAGCCTGTAATTCAGTGGTTGTCGTTTGTTGCTGTGTAACATATTTGATTTTCGTTCATTATTTTGTACATGAATTAGGCCGTTAGTTTTTCTCGGTTGAATTGTTTTACATTTATCATTTCGGGGCCTTTGATAGCTGACTATGCGGTGTGGGATTTGCTCATTGTTGAAGGCCGTACGGAGACCTATAGTTGTTAATTTCTTTTTCATTTGACCTCTTGTGAAGAGTTGTGTCTTTGGCAATTATACCACATCTTCTTTTTTATAATATACGTTTTGTGTTTCTGTCAAAATCTATCAAATATTTCACAGAGTATCTACAATGAGTAGAACTTACCTTACAATTAAAACCAAACGTTTAAGATCAGCCTTGATAGATTAAGCTGCATCCTTTTTTATCGAATGCAATAACATAATATCATATAAACAACCAATTTTGTTTTGATTCTTGTCAGAAGTGAATAAGCGGGAACAGGTCAAGAAGTAGAACCAACATATTGGTACAAATGTAGTATTATTTAAGTCAACACGTCAAGTGGTTAGAATAATGAATTGATTAATAATTGAGTTATATTGTCTTTTTATTTAGTCTTAGTGTTTTCCCTCTTTGTTTAATATCATATTCTTGATGTAGAACAGTGTTGTACGTGGTAAGTTGCACCCCAGGTCAGATCAATTCGACAACCAGCATTTATTAGCACGAAGCCTTCTTAGCTTTAAATCGGAATACTTTTCGAATCGGATGACTCGCTTTCTTTAGCAAACAGTCGCTTATTGTTCAAATTGGGAGTTTCAGGTAATGCACCCCAAATTTCGATATGTATAGATTATCGGTGTTTCTACACATTGATACATGTATCGATAGATATCGGACGCGAGCCACAATGGAAATATTTTAGATGTGAGCTGACCGACTGAGTAATGTACTAAAGGCAAACGGAAGTACGACAATAAGTTTTTAGAGTATTCATTATAAAAATGCTAACATCAATATTTCATAGATAAGTTGAATACTTATCATCAACGGATTAAACTATTTAACTTATCAGCGATTAAATAATTGTAATTATACGGTTTTTCTTCATTTTCTGCACATGAAATAATAAATGAAATCATGTTTAGCCTCTCCTTCTTCTTTGTATTCTTTTAAACAATTTCACTCTTAATTTTCGCTGGTCTTTATTTTTCTCTAAATTTTTTTAATAGACAATTATAAAACTTAAGTGTTATCTTATCGTTCTTATGTGGTACGGATTCCCGAAGTAAAACTATAAATTCTGAATTGCAACGTTAATACTTTTCCAGCTACTAAATCATTTTACAATATACGTACATTAACACAACAAAATGAATATAAAAATAACTACTTGAGAATTTAAGGTATATTTAACGTAATGCTGCTAACAAACTCAACGGATTTTCTTCCATGTACTTTATTCAAATTTAGATGAACAGACTGAGTCTCTGATCAACCGAATAACGCCCTTGAAAAAGGTCGAAAATAAACATGGATTTAAATGCTAAATAAAGGTATCGTCTAAATATAGAGAATTGATATTTTTCAGAAGGTCTGATTTTCACAGAATCATCTACTTTCGTTTTTTAGTTTAAGCTTTATGAAATTAGCCATTTTGAAAAATTGTTTTTACAAGGTAAGCTTCTAGTTTTTAAAAATTAGTGATTTAAGCATAGACTGCCCAGTATAATGATATATCAATATCATTTCTTTTATAACAATGCTGGTATATTGTTTAAAACAGACAAATAGAAAAAAAATGTAAATAATAGAATCGCCTGAATTCTAAACAAAGTAAGATCAGGTACTTAGATAGGACAGGCATCTCTTGCTATGATACGATTCCAAACTCATATTGCACAAAATACATGTACAATACTAGACATAAGCCGTGTACTGACGGATTAAGTTACAATAGAATGCATTCAAACAGGGAACTTCAGCTTATTTGAAGCATTATAGAGTTGTTATGCAGAAGTAAACTTGACAATGATTGGCAGTGGAAACCTGCTCAAAACTTCTTTATGAATACCGAAATCTAATATCATATTATTAAGTTAATGGTTTAAGATAATGTAAGAAATATCATTATTGTCTATGATTTTTAAAATTGATTAGTTCAAATACCTTGTATATTGAACAATATTTTGATGTGTATAATCGATTTTCAATAATTTTTGTAATGTTACGTGACGGCATTTGAAGTTTTAAGTTCATATGCATTCATCACCTGTCACCCGATTTCACAGTTGCACATATTAGAAGCAAAGCCAGGAACTCACACGTAAACTGTTACTCATCAGTTGATAAATTAAGACGCTGTAAATATGTCATAATCTAAACATATAAATCATCCCAAAACGGAAACATAATGGACAAAACCTCAAATTTCAAAACTTTTTAAAATAATGCTATAATCAGTCTCCTTTTAGTCTGCATCTTAGCTGATTACGCATTAAAGCAAAAAAAGGCCACGCAAAGAGAATTTTTGCATAAGAGAAATAGCTTTAACAACTCATGAGAATTGGATATGGCTTGACTTCAACTCGATAATATAACATAATATACTTATTGATGAAGGTTAGGAATATAATGTTACTGATCCAACACTGGGAAAAAATATTTGCTAAATCATAGTTTTGAAGCTTTACTTAATGTTTCTTGTGTGTTTTAGTGCTTGAAATTTATAGTAACACTTGTTCTTGTCATCTTACATTGATTATATAATATCAAGTCTTTCTGTACTGTTTATAACGTTGCTAAAAAAACTATTTATGAAGTAAAGCGACATATATTGGAGTGATAACGGCATGCTTTTATATCAGTAGGTTAAGTACTTTGATGATACATACAAAGCATTTCGAAAATTATAATGTCCTTGTACGATATGGGGCGTATAAACCACCAATTCAAAATCTCTTTATAGTCAACCATTTTTTTTCAATTTTCAATACTCTTTAAATCTTCTAACTAATGAATTTTTGCGTCGCAACACCAGCTTTGTATTGAATTTCAATGAAATATTTGACAATTTAATCAAAACTGTAATGAAAACTGGACACTTACGGCGAATTTCGTCCAGAACATGCATGGAATATTTGCCACGGAAATTGAGCAACCAACAATGAATCAATCGTAAGGCAAATATGCTTTGGGTAATTTTGATGAGTAATCGTTTCAATTATTACTTTATTTATGACTACTGAATTATTCAATTATTCACGGTTTTTATACATTGATATATTATATCTTAAAAAAAAGAGTGTTCAATAATTATGTTTGTGGAAAATGTTTATCGGGTTTTATCTAAAGTGTTCTGTTCTGACAGGTTATATTAAAGTGACAATAGACAAAAGGCCCCTATCAAGCGTGCACAATATGTTTCGTTTATCATGAAATCAATTTAAAGGTAAGGATTTACAATATTAACTTCATGACCCATTTGAATAAAGAATAGTGTATTTTCAGTATGTATGATTTTCGTAGAATTACCTGCTATTTTTCAAAATTTAGATTTGGTCAGTGAATACCTTCTTTGATTATATTGAATTATGAAATAACAAGACATAATTTATTGATGCATAATTGCTTTTTTACTGTAATGTTTATACAGACAAATGAGGGGTCAGATGGAGTTACACACATGCTTAAATTCTGTCAAAGTTCAAAGACCTCAAGTACGAATATTGGAATTATAATATACGACTTAGAAACCGAAAATTTTGAATTCATCTTAATTGGAAAGGCTCTTTCATGTACATAGGATGTAAGTCAAATTTGTTTATTATTGAAAGTCAAGCCGTAAACACGTCTTTTTATACGAAGGAAAAATATATTATTTCAAAACCAATTTTTAACTATACATTTAGTATCTCGTGTAATTTGAATCAAGCTATATCAATTTCTCGTAATGTTATATGTTGCTTTGTATGTATCCCTTTGTACTATGTCAGCATGAAATTGTTAAACAGTTATAGGATTGATACTTGTCTATTTTTGAAATCAATTTTAAATCACATAGACTTGAAGATCTAAAAGAAAAAAATAAAGATATCCGTTGATTTATTAAATATATGGCTGTGCATGTATGGGAAATTATTCATAGTAAGAAAGTTTCCTTTAAGACTACTTCATATATAGTCGTTCATTTAAAGAAACAAAGGGATTTGTTTGAATCACAATGGATTTTTAGATTGTCCCTTTTAGTAATAAAGTATTCAAATTTACACCTTACGTTGATCATTCTATGTTTTGAAACCCATTTGAACAAAATCTTTTAATGTCTATCAGTTGAGAACTAAAAACTTGTTTCAAAGGGAAGAGAAAGTCCAGAGTTTTTATATAGCGTTGGAAGAAGGATTTTGAATGTATGCAATCTCATACAGATCTTTCAATATGTTAGAATCGAAATCAGGTTCACGCTGCTTCTAGCAGATAAATTTTAAAAACCAAGACAAAATAAATAAGCATGCTGTTGTTAAAAAAGAAAACTCGTTAAGTTGTTCTTATTTTCAATGTATTATGGTATATCAGTTCAGTTATCTTTTCTTTGAAAGAATAGTTTTATTCCTAACGTTAAATGGTCCTATTAATTTAACTAAATATGTGAATATATTTTATATACTTGAATTTTTTATCTTAATCTGGCAATGGCTTGCTTTTAGTATTTAACAAAAGTGGTCGTAATCATTTGATGCAGTTGTTATTGTATTTTGTAAACAAATATGTGCTTTTTTCAAAAACAATTCATTCATAGTCTCATTACCTGGTTAACTATTCATTAATTATTTTATTTTATCATACTTCATGTCAAAATACCAGATTTTGATTGGTTAATACGAGGGAGACAATTTACTCTATCCAATGGCATATACTTTATTATCCTTCGCGGAGACGCTTGCTCAAGTGTGCGCTTTAATAAATACGGATGATTGTTATGTACAAGACGACATAGTTTATTACTTTGAATTTGAAATTTAATAGACAGTAATAACAGAACATTCAGTATAATAAATTAAATAACACATATCTGAGAGGGTGATAGAGCAGATTGTTACCCCTCAAAAAGACATTGTCAACTGAGGCTTCGCCTCGCCTCAGTTTGACAGTGTTTTCTCGGGGTAACAATCTGCTCTATCACCCTCTCAGCTATGTGTTACTTATATATTAATACCTGATCCGATTTATATCATAATGATATTTATACAACGGCATGTCATACATTTCAGATAGCCTATAGCGTTTAAATGTTTTCATGCAAAGTTTCAGAAATACAATAAGGACTCCTATGTTAACATTATTGGCAAATTATGTCATTTACCATGCAATGATAAGATATATATTAGATGGATTAACACGTAGTTACATTGTCAATTTGTGGTTTCTTTATTCCAATAGTAACCGATGGTCACGAAATATGAATAATGAGGAAACATTTTCCGCCAGGTAAAACACAGATTGAAAGGTAAATCCATAAATGGGCTCAGACACACAAATTTATAAACTGTTATTTTCTTTACTGCCACTCCCAATACGTGAGACTGTCACCTGAAAACCGTCATCTAATACGCATGGAAAGGTAATCAATAACACGTTTTATAAATTAAACACAAAACAAAACAACATAAATCGTCTAAGGACAACTTATAAACCTATATGGAGTTAATTCCTTTCAGAACGACAGGTCATTCTTTTGAAGAAACAACCTGGACGATACCAAGTTTCAATGAAGTAAAATTGGTTCCGTGAATTTTATTATGAAAGTATTAATAACTTCAAATTACTATAAAATTAAACAATACCTAGGCAATGAAAAAAAAAAAAAGAAAAAAAAATCTTTCAGATAAAAAATAACCTAAATCTTTAGCTTTCCAAAACTTTGATTACTTGATCAGCGGTTGGGGAGAATAGTTATTTCCAATACATGTATTCCGATAAAAAAAACAGGAATTTAATTTTGAACATATTAAAAACTTTTAAGGGCATTATTTTTGAACATTTCCCTCACATAATGAAACAGTATTAAAAACTTTTAAGGGCATTATTTTTGAACATTTCCCTCACATAATGAAACAGTATTTGATGTAAAAAGCCGGACTAAACTATTGACTGTGAAATAAAATTTAGTTGTAACTCAAATGTATTAATTGATTTAAACTGTAAATAAAAAAGGATAATTCCTCACTAAAATATTACATGATTTACATTCATACTCACAATCAGGAAACATACAATTCCTACCTTTTCTTTCTACTGTTGTGTCACCTAATATCTATAACGCATTTTTTAAAAATATTTCCCAAATGATAAGAAAATCCTCACACCACTAAAACTTATCCATAAATGACATGCCGAAAAAGGAAGTCATGCATCAATTATAAACATTGCACTGACAATGAAACTAATTCTTGAATAGATCATTTGAGCCTTGAGCACTTTACAATATTCTAAGTTTGTAAGAGAATGATAATCCCTTACTTCATGATAAGTACTCGCTAACGCTCATACTTATTCATGAAGAAAGGGATTATCATTCTCTTACATATACTAAGATGCAAAACTAAAGATTACTAAAAACATTTAATCTTCGTGTTGTTGTCAATTTGGTTTTATTGTACAATTTTCTATCTTAAATACTTTTAAAAACTTTTAAGCAGAAATGTATTAGGCTGAAATAAATACCCTTTACTCTATTAAATGGCAAAATATTCCTATTTTCTACAGGTGAACAGGCACGTTCTTTAAAAGGGGGGCTATAATATTTCATCCTGATTCTCAATTTTGGAAGAAAAAAATGTATTGCCTGACAAAAGCGAGAAAACAGTTATTCTCAGAAGTTTGATAAAAATTGTTAAAAAAATAATCTGCTTTTTCCCGATAAAAATGTCATGAAATAAGTAAACAAAAACACAGCACTCCTTTTATTAAGATTATATGATAAATTACTTACAAAGTGAATTTTTCGTACATCTTAACAATTTAGTTGCTTCTTGCTTCATGCAATTACTATATATACCATTTATATCGTAACTGGACAGTGATTTTTAACGTTTATACGTGTATCTGGATTAATTAGTGAGTTTTATTTCACATTAGAAATGAGCCGTAGTCCGTTGTTATATCTAATCGTTTAAGAAAAGAATATCCCACTCCAAAGTGATCGGTAAAATAGGATACAATTCTTGAAAATCTATATTTTGGAACAGTATATAAGTCATATAATGCATATTTTAAGGTGTTTCTTGTTGTATAAAACACCGAGGGGTGTTATACAAAAAGAAAGATTTTAAAATATGCATTATCTATAACATAACCTGTGGATTAGAATTCGTAGCCTTAGATTTGACATCAAATTACATAGACAAAATATGTACCATTTAAAGAATGTCTATCACATGTAATATATTGCGAGATTTCTTAGATCCGTATAAATTGTTTGTTGCGTTTTTTCTTGGTATTGTTATATATTATTCTCTTAACTATTTTTGAGATAGCTGCCTGTTGGCAAAAAGTTCATAAAAATGATTTTACTTAATGAAATACAAAATTGTCTTTTTTATTAAGTGTCAAAAACGCTTCACTGTATAAAACCGCAGTTTATAGCTTGTCGTTCATAAAAAAATTGTTCAGAGTACATCGAAGCCATTTCATATAAAATAGGTTAGTGTTTGTTCGTAAACTACCATGAAATCATAAAGGCTAGTGTGTATTCGTGAATTATCATGAACTATCTGTTTACAAAAATAAATCAAATTTGTCTAAAATATAGGAATTGAGGAACACCCTATCCCATCTAAGATAAAAATTGACTAGAGACATCGAATCTATGAAAAAAATAAGATTTGTTTATACACAAACATAGATACCAGCTATATTCAATTTACTTAGTATTCTTACTTTTGTAGAGGCAATGGCAGCTGTATTACCTAACGCGTCAGATGAAAATTCTAAAATATGTTGTTCAACACATTCCGATGAAGAGTGTACATTCGTATGTGGTGATTGCACAGCGTTGATTTGCGATGATTGTGTTGATACCGAGGATCATGAGGGTCATGATATTAAATCGATCAAGAAGTTTATCAAAGAAGTAGATCTCGACGATTTAAAGGAATCATGTGAAAAATTTGACTGCTTTAAAATCAAAGCAAAGATATTAGATGAAACAGAGAGGCGGTTCCAAAAAGCCTTAGATGGAATACATTCGCAGGCATCTAAAATGATATCTGAAATCAATAAAATAAAAGAGAAGAAAAAACGTGAGTGTGAAGAAAAGAAAGGTAAAAACGCTACCACGGTGAATGAAGTTCTTGCTGTCGTTGACCCATCTGAAATAGCAGACAAGATAGATAATCTACCTAAGAAAGGCGGTCGTACTCAATATGCAGAAGTTGCTCAGGCTCTTTTAAAATACCATAAAACTATGGAATCGGAAGAGATCGAGGCCAAATGTGACGCATCTGTATATGTTCCAACTTTTACACACGGTAAAATACAAAAATCTCGGTTAGAGAAACAGTTTGGTGAACTGGATTTCGAAGAGGAAGATGTAGACAACTTGTTTGACACTGAAGAGGAAACAACTGAAAGTGAAAGTAGTGATGATGCAAATGCTGATGATCAGAACAATGAAAAGGGCAACAAGGAAGATGGTGAAGGCGGTAGCGACTTTCTTAATTACTAATAGTTATACTTCGGTAAGAATTTCGTGTGATGATGTAAAAAAAAACATATGTTGGTTATAGATACATTGCATATGGAGTCACATATTTTTTTTTTCAATTTGAAACTTAGTTGGTTGTGCTACAGCTTAAGACATTGTAAAATAAACAAAGACGATTGATATGTTCATTTTCTAATTCAATTTTCGCTAGATTTTTTGGAATATTTTATATTTCCTGTCATAATTCACCTTTATATGACATTTCCATCAGAGAAAAAAACTCTGTACCAATCAAGCATTTGTTATTGATGGGCAATATATATCCTCTTAAAAAATAGTTAATCTAAGCAATCCGAAAGTCTGTTAACGTAAAACCTAGACTTAATACAAGTTTAAGTAACCAAGTCGTCTTCAAAATGCAATTATTTTTTTATAGTTGATTGATGTGAAATGTTTTACCCGAATGATGTTTTTCTTAGTCGTTAGGTATTTGAGTGTATTCATGCACTATTATCAAAACACTGTTTGATTTTAGAAAGATTAAAATTCAAAAGACCAAATACAAATATGCGAGAACTTTATATATAGTGTGGTTGGTATACTCGTTATTCAGTATTTAACGAGAAGTAGATACGACAAAATAATGGTTCGATTTTTAATAAAAGCTCAAGTTAATCTTGAGCTGCTATTTGACACTCCAATTCAAAATGGCACACACAATTGGAGACCTAAGTTCTCATTCAACATTTATTTATTTACGTGAGGTAATTTCAACTCAACATGTCTGTACAACGTAGTTTTGAATTCATCTGAAAGAAAAGGTAAATACATATATTTGCTCAAAATACGGGATAGCCAAGAACTGATATAACATCGTCTCCTAAGCCTTAGCTGCTTTATTTCAAATAAAATATCCAGAACAACACAACTAAGTAAATACCTGTTTAATTGGTGACGTCATCGACGATATTTATAATTGTTTAAACCTAAATGAAGGTCGTCATGGGGGACTTCATATAAGTTTCTTAATTTCAATGGCATTTTTTTCAATTTTTTCTATTTCTTGGGGTTTTTTTTATTATTATTATTTCTGCACGTTACTCTTTACTTTATTAGCACCCAATGGTTTTTATACCAACATTTTTATTCTTTTTTTCTGTTCTTTGCTTTTTTGGCCCTTTATCACTATTTTTACCGATTATTATTATCTCATCTGATATCTCAGAATTTGTTGAACTGGTAGATCTTATTTCCGATTATTTTATGTTATAATAGTTTTTATATTCATTCTTATATTTAAATTTGTTTATCTTGTTTGGAATATTGCATTTAGAGGGTATATCAATAGCCTTTTCTGCTGCAGACTTTACAGTTTTAGTATTAAACGACAAATCTTTCAAACAATTAGATTGTTTATTCTTATTTTATTTAAAAACTGTTACTAGTATAAAAACTGTATACTTTTTCAAATGTCAGACTGTTACAATTTTCATGTATATTTTGCCATAATTCGTTGAGTTTATAATATCTTTTGTTCTCATAAAAGAATTGAATCCGGTAAGAGATTATAAATTCACATCAACGACCTTTTATGCTTCATGTTTATTTACTTAATGAGACAGTAACAATGTGATTTCGTTTAACGAATTGAAGCTTTTTATGTGGACTCTTTTGTTTATATAAAAAAGAAGATGTGGTAAGATTGCCAATGAGACAACTCTCCACAAGAGACCAAATGACACAGAAATTAACAATTACAGGTCACCGTACGGCCTTCAACAATGAGCAAAGCCCATACCGCCCATACCGCACAGTCAGCTATAAAAGGCCCCGAAATTACAATGTAAAACAATTCAAACGAGAAAACTAACGGCCTAATTTATGTACAAAAAAATGAACGAATAACAAATTTGTAACACATAAACAAACAACAACCACTGAATTACAGGCTCCTGACTTGGGACAGGCACATACATACAGAATGTGGCGGGGTTAAACATGTTAGCGGGATTCTAACCCTCCCCCTAACTTGGGACAGTGGTGTAACAGTACAACATAAGAACGAACTATAAAAATCAGTTGAAAGAGTCTTAACTCATCAGATGGATAAAAATAAAAAAATACTACTAATACAAGTGGACGTGGCCGGGTACTTGTACATCCAAACAACAAAAAGACACTAAGTACAGATCTGTGAGTACTCGCAGTTACTGACAGCTAGTTCAAAGCCAATAACTACTAATAAAAAAATCATGCATCTCAGACTAAATTATCAATCCGTACACATCCAACATCCAATGGATTTAGTGTAAATCCATTTTGTTTGTTTTAATTAATGTTTTAAAACTAACAAGATATTCAGTAAGAGGCTACTAGTTTCAATTATCACCATTATTAATTGTATTACTCGAATTCATCTTTCTTTAACAGTTTAGGTTTAAACGTTATATAAGTCGATAAAAATCTATTTTATGAATTTAATTATTTGTCATATTTTTATTTCACTTTCCGTTATTTATTCGATTATTTTTTTTAATCTTTAACATGGAATCTGATTAAGTCGGAGTTGTTCCACTTTGACGGATAAACATTGTTAACTGATTTTAAAACGACAAATAGCATCGAATAAGAGCTGGGTAGCACTAAGGATTTGCTAGTAAAGCAATGACTGCTCCTACCGGAGCACATGGTTTATCCTTTTTTCGCGTGGTCCATTTTTTTTTTTTTTTTTTTATTTGTTCAATGTTAAGTTTTTTGTGTAGTGTTTTGTGGAATATTTATCAAATATTTGGTTTTTTTCATTTGATCACAATCTTTTCTATGTTTGCCAAATGATTTTGTATTGAAAATATGCAATGTGTACGAAGGTGCATCAAGAAAAGTTTACACACATTAAAAAAGGCACACAAAGCTGCTTATATTCAAAGTATTCTATTTTGCTCAAATATCATCGATGTGATTTACGAATAACTGAGCAGCATGCAGTGATATCAACTTGCAGGGGACCACATACAAACATATATAATCGCTTGTGTTCAAAGAAAAAATACAACAATATTTTAATTCATTGGAAAACACAAATAGATTGTATTTACATCTAAGCATCATTTAATACATTCGACCAGATGACAAATAGCTTGAAAGGCTTTGTTAAATATGATAATTTGATACCGATCTCCATTCAAATGGGACCTTTCTAGGGTCTAGGTACACAATATAATCAGTCGGAATACCAAAAGCCTGTGAAAGCTGTGTGGAACAGGTGCATTGATAACTCATCATTTTCTGTTTTACATGCATCTTATGCCGCGCGATTCTTCTGAAGTCAAAAACATCTGTTAGGACTAAAAAAAACAAGAAAAGAACAAGTTATAATAATAGTTGCAAGACAGTTGAAACCAATTAAATGATTCCAAAATGTATTGGATTTTTATATATAATAGTATATTCAAATTCTAAATTTTAAAACATGGCGTTGGTGGCGTATATTTGGTCGTCCCTTTTATATAAAATTCAAACATAGTGTAGACTTAGGACAATGTAGCACTTATCATACGGTGTATGACACCCAATGCACCAGGCTATATTTAGTAGCTAAATATACTTCTAGTTGTTTCGATGCTGTTTCATTCACAAGTAGTCCACGTTTTATTATATTTATTAGTGAGATTTTTACACATTAAACTAAAAGCTGAAGCATTGCGAGACAACGGACAAATTCATGATTGCAATATTTCGCAAAAAAGGATAATGTGAATCCCAAATATTATTGGACAGTACAAAAGACCACACCAACCAACAATACCGGACTCCTCCGAAAAGTTTATAGGTGCGAACAAAGATATTCATCACCGTACAGATAAGCTAAATCGGTACATGCACCAAATGTGGTGGGATTTAATTGGGTTACATGCGTAGAAACCTCCCGCCTAGCATACCTAGAGTAAATGTAGAATAATCAACAGAAAATTCTACACAATCAAATTTCCTACAGTAATTCCACTAAATTAAATAAGAAATAAAAGACGGCAGATAATTCGGAAAGCAGAGTCACAATGTGTTCTCTATATGGAATTAAAGAAGTTAGTTAAGGTACCTACGGCTGTTGGCTGAATACTTCGGCAAAAAAGCCAGAAATAAAACTTACAGGTTTCAAGAAGTAATACGAGCCATAGAAAAATCTTAACATTTTAGATTACTTTCAGATTGTATATTTACAAAATGTATATACATTTTTGAATAGCATCTTCAATCTGGAAACACTAATATTGTTTCAACTTTAAAGATTTTTTTTTTTTTTTGGTAAATCGATTAAAAGATTTGTTAAGCCATAAAGCACTAATTATAGTCCAGTCAATACAGAGGGTAACCTCAAAGTAATTGCATCAGAAATAAATTGTGTATTACTTTTTTTGCATATGACTATAGAAGAACATGAACAAGTTGGACAACATTGGAAAAAGGGAAAATGCTCTAATTTCACCTTGTTTTTTTTTAAATACCTCGGAAAATCGTTTCAGCTTAAGGGCGCCATAACACGAAAAGGAGATAACACGAGGATCAGGGTCAAACAAATAAATTATGATTAATGTAAATAACAACTTAAAATATAAGTCTACCTAAATTCAAGGTAAGAATTATTATATTAAGATTTATCAGGTGGAAACCTAATAAAATGACATAAAAATAATACGAACAACTGTCCTTCAACACATTTTTCGTACGATCAGCGCTCAGACTCTAATATTCACTTTAAATATAAACTGTATTTGATGTATTTGATGTAAAAGTCTATAATTTAAGGAATTGCTTGTTCCTTTAATTTACGGATTTGTTATAGGAATGAGCTTGGAAGTTAATCAGGTAAACCCGACAAACTAAAGTTTGAATACTGATATTTACGGTGGCGTAAAATTAGCGACATTCATTAAAAGGTAGATCAATAACAGGTTAGCTTTGAATTAGAATAGTAACCGGATGGGATGCCTTGCTTTTGTTTAAACAAAAAACAGTCGTGTATTGTTCCAATGAGGGGCGTTTCAAGAGATAACTATCATACATGTGTATCTTGATTTTAAGTATAAGCCTTGAAGGTTAGTACATTAGTCCATATTCTGGACTGATTTAATTTTCTGTTTTTTGTTTGTTTGATAGTACCAGTCTGAAAATCAAGTTTAGCAAATGTAAGGTCCTTGTTCATATCAAATTTACGTGTTGGCATGGACATTTAACATTCTTCAGTACATCATTCCATTTATAATGAAAAAAGGAAAATATCATTTGTTTTCCTCTTATAGTTGATGTGTTTCCCTCGGTTTTGGTTTGAAACCCGGATTTGTTTTCTCTCAATCGATTTATGACTTTTGAACACAGGTATACTACTGTTACCTTTATTCATAGACAAATCATTCAACTAATACAATAGGAAAATAAATGATTGAAACAAAAAAAAGCTAACATATCAAAAAACAAATGCAAAATAAAAAAAAAACGACAGAGATTGCATGCTGTTTTCTGCTCTTTTGTCGGGTTGTCTCTTTGACACATTCCCCGTTTCCATTCTCAATTTATGTATATGTATTTGTGATGTGCAAGACAGCTATGATAGTCAAAGTTCTTTTTTGATGAAACCGCATACATATTGATAGAAATTCGCCTGATAATTTGAATAAATACGGAATGCTGAATATGTATTTTATGCCTATGACAAGGATATTACCCGAATGCTTTATACGACATACGACTATATTTATTGAAGACAAAAGTAAGAAAAAAAGTCCTAACGTCTAACTTCAAAAAATGAGGAGAAGAGTGCTTCACGAACAGGAGAATGTCCGAAAGAAAAAAAAAGACATTGCCGTACAATAAATAACAAAACAGGACAAATAAACTTAAATTGGGTATGTTTTCAACTGTTGTTGGAGAGTAAATGATTTATTGCTGATCGATCTACGTCGATTGGCAGATATTGTTTGAATATTAAGAACGAGAACAGATTTAAACAGCTTCAAGCATCAATTGTTGAAGTACAGGTGACCATTTTTCTATATCCATTCATATTCTTGTGATCGAAAAGAGAGGCTAAAGATACTAAAGGGACATTCAAACTCATAAGTCGAAAATAAACTGACAACACCATGGCAAAAAAAAAGAGGCAAAATATATGTGGCACTCGACGTGTTGCTCATGTAAGTATAAACCTGGTGATAAGTCTAATTCGGTCGGCAGATCAAATTCGGAGAAAAGGTGGACGGGATGAATACTTGTATCTACGTTGGTCGTTCAGTTTTTATGAAACAAAGCAGGCTTATCTCTTTTAATTTTGTGTTTAATTTGAAATGATGAATAGTTGTTTAAAGTGTAGAAAAGTCGATTTTTTTAATACTATTTCACGAGGAAAGAGTCTTAGATTGCATGTAATCTAACAGATCTTTGAAATTTTTAAGTATCCACATCTGATTCACGTCGCCTCTAGAATAGGTTGTTTCACAATAACTTTGAAGCCCGGCTTTGATTGCTGATAAAACTTGTGTTAATAATATAGACCCAGCAATATAACGTTTTTTGTAAGGACTCTTATGTAATTTAGGTATCGTATCCAAAACGGTGAAGTGATCCAGTTCTTCATCTTTGATTGAAATTCCAAAGGAACATGGAACAGACCTATTTATTCAGGAATTCATCCTTGGTAAGTGTCGTGGGGAATATGTTGAGTTTCCAAGTGAATTGCCAATACCTAATTCATGTATCAAGCAGTTTATGTAATGTGATTTACACACAAAAACAAAATGCTTAGGGCTTTATCTTTGGGGACAATAACATATGTGTCATAGAGACATAAGATTCATGTTGCATATTGTTTCATAGATCCATCCAGTTTTTTTTAATTCTGATTGTCTCAACGACCTTAAGGCCTTTATCCATTCGGAAAGAGTAATTACGTTTCCTTTCTCGCGTTTAAAAAGTAAAATAACAACAATACCGAACTCCAACGAAAATTCAAAACGGAAAGTTCCTTATCAAATGGCAAAATCAAAAGCTCAAACACATCAAACACACGGAAACCACTGTCATATTCCTGACTTTGTACAGGCATTTTCTTATGTAGAAAATGGTGGATTAAACCTGGTTTTATAGCTAGCTAAACCTCTCCCTTGTATGGCAGCCGTATGAAATTCCATTATATTGACAACAATGTGTGTAATGCTTGCAGTATAAACTAGCTCACTTATAACTCAAACATTAGCACATCAAAATCAAGCCAAGCAAACTGGAGGGAAAGACCCGAGTTGATGGATTGGTTCGAAGAGAACCAGATGTATGGACTTTGATGCACAATTTTGCAAAAGATTCATTTGTCTCTTTGACATATTCCCCATTTCCATTCTCAATTTTATTTGATTAAAAAATACTAGTACAATCAATGGTATCGTCATTCTTAATCATCTTTCGAATAAATCGAGCAAATTATTTTCATTGATTGAACATACAACGCAACATTAAATTTTAAAATACAGATTTATTTCATTGTACATTTCAAATATTTTGCAAATTTACCCAGGGATATATGATTAATAGCTTTATATAGATTATATCAGTCAGTTAATGGCTGTGAATTATTACCAATAATTAACCAGTACGTGAATCATTAACATCGACTAACGTTTCCTTTGAAAGTTCAGGCAAAACTTCATAAACATCTTTCTATTCCAGTCAAATGAATTCTACATTTAATCAAATCATATATACTGATATTGATCTTCTTTCAAATAATTTCAAATGATTACGCTATTGTGTGACAGAATTCAAATATATCTAGTTAAGCGAAAATATTTACTTGAATCGAAATTGTTGACTTATAAATGTTAGTTGCACTGTTATATTTGTTTTAAAAAAGTAACAGAAATAGAAACAATTATTTACTGTAACATTGCTTAACATTTATTTATTGTGTTTATAAATGGAAGATAGAAACGACGTTTCTCCTGGAAACGGACGTCTAGGTTTTATTTGGAGAGATTTTCGAGATTACACATCACTCCATGGAGTAAATTATGTGCGACGGAATAGTACATATAGATGTCGATGGTAGGTAGACAACATTTGCATATGTGTTTTTTGTTTAAGTGGGGAAAGTTGTTTGTTTTGACAATTCTTTTAAAGGTTGTTGTTTTTGTTTTTTGTTTCTTATATCGATATTATTTATTAACAGCTCTATTACTTATACATGACATCGTGAATGTAAAAGCTTTTTAAAAAAGCATCTTTCTGACCATTCTTCCTTTTGTTTCATGATCTATTCAGATTTACTACCCTACTGGTTAAAACATTTTTTTTTTTTCAAAGATTTTGATTTATATAAATTAATAGTATTGGAATTGATAAATATTTACAATAGTTCTACATATAGCTTGCAGACAATACAGATACACAATTATGAATTTTGTAATAAACCCATTGATATTTTATGCTTTGGTATTTTGTTTTCGGGAAAATAGATATTTGTATTTTTTGAAAGATGAAATACCAATTTCAGTGTATACTTAATTTAAAAGTTTTTTTTTTCAAAATTTTATTGATAAATCAGTTTTATTTCAAATACAATTACAATCTGCATATATGAGTTCCAAATGATTCGAGTATCGGTGTTAAAATTAGCATTGCATTGCATATAATAAAAAAATTTGTTCGGAGGCAGATAAGGCAGAAAATCTTACTTTTCGTTTTCACGAAGAAGTATTACATCACTGCATGTAATATGAATTGATTGTTATATAAAAAGAAGTAGATTTCATAACATTAAATTAACAAATGTAGTTCTATAGTTGTTTCCTTATTAATAACAACTTTATAATACACTTTTTATTTCCCTTTTTTATTGCATTCTGATACCGGTTTACTTGGTATTAGAATTTTAATTGGAGATCACACTCAATTCACTAATTTTAGAATTAAAATATAAAATCCCTCGGTCCGCTTGGCTCCATTTGAAAAATGAATAATATTTTTTTTTTTGCATTTGAGAATCATATCCATACAGATCTTCAATATTAATTTATTTAATATATCTGTTGAAGTCTATTGCTTAGAATGACATTTTGGATTAACAATTAAAGATACATGAGTAGAGGATATTTCAGTTTTATCATGGCAGTGGAGTAAGTCCGTTGAAATAGTAAATCCAGATTTAAATCAACGAACATAAGAATAAAAACACTTGTGAGTGAGACAAGGTACGTCGACATGGTTTAGTATATTTTGGTTTGTATAGATTTAATTGTGTCTTTTGCTTTTATATCAGTTGTTATTTTGTTATTCGATCTGATTAGTCAAACATTTTCCAACTTACTGCTACATTTTGGTCATATGCAGTGTCATTCCAGGTTAGGGATGGTTAAGCTCTCATAAAGATTATACCTGTCTCATTGGCAATCATATCACATCTTATATATTAACCTCGCCGCATTCTGTATGTGCCGGTCCCAAGTCATGAGCCTGTAATTCATTGGTTGTCGTTGGTTCTTGTCTTTCATATTTTCGTTTATTGTCTTGTCATAAATCAGACCGTTGGTGGCCTATAGTTGCTTAAACCTATTTCATTTGAATAGTTGTCTCATTGGCAATCATACCAGTTCTCCTTATTTCATATTCTATGCAAAACTAATTTGTTAATCATACATCTTTATTTTGATTTTTGATTTATCTGGTGTATATATAACCCCTTAAAAGGAGCGAGTTGTGTTTTGTATATTGTTTAAGAGCATCATCCAGACCAGGAGCGTGTAGCCTATTGGTTGTTGTTGGTTTTTGTCTACCAAAAACAAAATCATTTCACTGTTATCGAATTAGATCGGGCTGTTAGTTCTCACTTTTGCGCCATAGCTTACCATATACGGTATCCCCGCCCGTATGGGTTTTGCTCATTGGTGAAAGCAATACGATGACCTATATGAAATTGCCCGTTGATGTTTAGCTGTCTCATGGCTAATTTGAGTCATACCAATTCTTTTTATTTTGGAAGTTATTGAATACTTATCGACATCAAATGTAAAAAAATTCAATATGAAAGTAAGGAGATGATTTTAGTTCAAAACGTATTATTCTCATTTGCAATTTTATGGTTTTTTTATGTCCAGTGTAACATTTGATACTGACGTAGGCATGTATCTGTTATATGGTTTTTCATGCATCATAAATTAATAAGGAAGATCTCAACGAATGTCAACTATGAATTCCCATGATAAGCTTATTGTGTATTTGTATTTGTAGGTTGGTTTGGACAGTAAGCATTCTTGTTGTGGTTAGTTTCATCTGTGTTAATGTGTTCCGGTTACACAGAAAAAGCATGAATTATTCAACAAAGACGTCTAATAAGATTGTAATGATTCCAAGTGTTCCATTTCCTGCTGTTACGATTTGTAATATATCTGAAAATCAACTTCAAGACATACAAGTAGATGATGTGAATGACTTGGACAGTCATCACCATCTGGATAAGCATTCCGTTATTGAAAATAATAATTCTGATAGTTCGAATTCATCGGACTACGATAAAGATGATACACGGCATTTGAACAATTATTCATTATCAGATTTTTTTATGTTTTGCTCGCATAACAGAAAAATGATACAATGTGAAAACTATATTGTCCCAAAGATAACACAATTAGGATTGTGTTACACATTTAACAGTTATCAATATTCTCAAAATAACGGACAGATGTATGTCGAAACCACTGGCACTCAAACAGCCTTGACTTTTAATATGAAATTGAACCAGCACCATTCAGATCAAGGAGTTGGGATTAGAGTAGGTATTCATATGTAATATATATCAGAGCAAAAAGAGTGCATATACAAGATTTTAAAATACGGAATTAAGTTCACACGACATTTTCTGGGATAACTGGAGACCACACAATTTTGAAACAAAATGCATAAAAGTTAAAGATCACCAAAGCATACAACTCCTTTGGCAGGACATTCATAATAATGTATGTTCTTTTCCTAAAGTACATACACAAAATTATAAAATCAAACATAACATTCCTCTGTTTCGTTGGAAAATCTGTCTTTGCAAATTTTGTATTTGAAAAAATTTTCATCGTACAGCAATAGATTCTGGAAGATTTTTTTTTATTTTTGCTTTTTAGACATGTATCGTCATAAGACTTATAATAAGTTGCCATGATAGGTATTCAATTCAGATGTATGCGTACCTAAATTATGTCGATATGCATGGGCACAGGAATATGGACCTTATGGACCTTACCAATGTTATATTTTGTATTTTAGATAGTATTACATGAGCCTGGCGAGGAACCGGATGTTCTAAATAAAGGTTTTAACATAGCAGAAGGATTTTCCTCGTACGTTTCAATAAGCATGACAAAGGTATGAAAAGGAATAACAAATGAACGAAAAAAAACTTCAAGGTATATTTTTTTAATCGATAACTATACAGCTGGTAAATTTAGAAAAATACTTCAAACGATCTTTATACAGACAAATTCACGACTTAAAGAAGTGGTTTTATAGCACATCAACCTCTACCTGCATGGAATCAATTAAGTTAATATAAATCAAATTTCATCAAGTCAATTGGGCATATATTGTACAAGTTTAGTGAAGCGAACGTGGCCGTTTATATAAACATTCCACACAACCAAACAGAAGCTTGTGTAAATTTTAAACATGGAACATACGTATAATAGCTGCAAATTATTTGTTCCGCTCTGAGATCATCTATGCTCCGACATACGTTCTTTTAACGTATATAACAGCAGCAGCCTACACAGTAGTAAAGACTATTTGCAAAATTGAAAATTTTAATAATAGCAAGATATCCTATAGGACAAACCTACATAACAGTTCTTTTACTCGTCCAATTAAATTATTTACTTTTTGAAAATATCACAATGATGAAATATCTTCTGCTACTTCAAAATGAGGGGGGGGGAAGAGAACAAAAGAGGTAGATATGGCCTAGGCATCACAAAACAATATCATCATGACCTGTGCAACCTTATGCAATATATTATGCGCATTTTGAAGGCAAACCTTTCCATTGCGAAGAAATTTATATTACAGATGCAATTTGTAGGCATGTCCAATAACGTCATAGCAGCTTGAATGCTCTGTTAAACCATAGAACAGTTAACCGAATGAACGTTGCGTTACTTTTTATAAAAGATGTTTCAATATTTTACTCAACGTTTTCTTCACAAACTTGTTGCCGTAAAGGCCCGCTTCTTTCATAACGCTTTTTAAATTGATTACTGTGCTCGCAACAACCGTATCTTGTCGCTTTACATTTTTCAACCTTCGATAAACAATTATTTTACAATAAATATTTAATCTTTAAATTTTTTCGGTTTCTTTCAGTATGAATATTTACCGTCACCCTACAGCATAAGTGATAACCAGCATTGTATTATCACTAAAACATCAGACTTTGTTAGTCCTCTGCAGTTTTACCCCAAATACAGCTATAGCGCATGTTTAATGGAATGTAGAAGGAATTTTATTATACAAATCTGTACTTGTAGAAGTGTGTTTGATCCAGGTATAGTACATTCAGATTTCACTTCAATTACAAATTTGTATCATCAGAAAAAGTTGGTATTACATATCTTGTCTTTTGATATGTGTAATGGTTATTCAAAAATAAAGAATTGAACATTGCAATAAGATCGAAATATATACTCGCTCTCGAATAACATAATCCCATTGGTAACTATTATATGGTTGTATCAACTATAATCAACGTTGATAAGATGCTAATTTCTAAGAAATGTGATTTGAAATGGCTAGTTTCACTAGGACAAACACTAAGTTTTAGTTTGATGAACTTGCAAAGGTAGCATTTTAAGACGACAACAATACATTGCCAAAGTCCTGCCTTAAACAACTATTTTAAACCCGCCATATGTTGTTGTCAGAAGTATATTCTGGTGGCTGTTTTGAGGTTTTAATGGGAAGGTCGCTAATTGAATGTATTGAGAACTTGTCAAGAGGTAAGGGTGACACGATATTTAATAGGGTTTTGTTTCATTTACTAAATGATTTAATTTTTTGGTCCTGAATATATATATATATATGAAAACGTATAATATATGAATTGAAATAGTGTTTAAGCGCTTATTGCACGCTTGTAAATCAGATAGTTCTCCCTCGTGCATCATATTCGAAGAATATTAAACTATGCGCAAATCTTTTATTAAAGTACATATCGGGTTGACCGAAAAAGTTCATGATACAAAACAGTTGATACTGGATTATTGACTGATTGACAAGGCAGGGGCGTAAACATTCTTGTTACATACGCAACTCGAATATGTCCACGTCCCTGCCTTATTTTAAGTCCCATTAAATACTGTACTTATAGATTATGTGAATAACATCCTGTGCATGATTATAATAATATAGGCAAATGAAGCATTCAATTAAGAAGGGATCGATTTCTCTGTAATTTATGTCACATAAAGCTAGGTTACATAAGGAAAAAAAGAAAGTAATTCAGTCTGCAACTGGTATTAACAGGATACAACACAAACGTACATTACAGTGTTTACTACGTGGTTCGAATAAAATTATGATGTAATCAATTTTAATGTTTAAACAAAATAACACTTTAAAAAAAGACTGCCAATTACTGCTTTGTTAAACGAATTTTGACATTTTTTAAATATTTATCAAAATGTTGAGGAAGCACCTTCAAATTCAAAATTGTGACGGATTTTAATTTGTTATGGTTCCTCTTATTTATTTTTTTTTTTATTTTTTTTTTTTATTTTCTTTTATTTATTATTACACTTATAAAAACTTTTGTTGAAGGAAGTGAACCAGTTTGTACAACTTCACAGTCAATTGGCTGTTATAGTCAAGCCAGTCGTAAGTATAAACCGGTAATCTTAGTCTTATAATTAATGTATTATATATGTTATATAGCTTCATTTTTCCATTATTGAACACATTTTTGGACTTGTGTATATGATCTGCTGCAATCGACCTATACTTTAAATCGTTCATTATACGGTGTTCAATTTCATGTTACATACAAAAGCCACGTGCTAACGTCAAAAATGTATACAGTGCTGGGATCAATACAACGTGGTCTGCATGAAAACATCAACATATACACAACGTCGCATTAGGAAGAATATTTCATTAGGGGAAGAGGGTCGACCTTTTAAAGCGTACAATTATTTAAATCATTACACTTGCTTAAATTCGCATGTGTAAAAGATTAAGCGGATACATATAAAATGTCACGTGATCTATATAATGGTAAAACAGCAACAGCAACGACGATGACAAACAAAACATAAAACTTACTTACACTGGTAGAGTATAAGGTTACTGTACATATAACTTACTTACACTGGTACAGTATAAGGTTACTGTACATAAAACTTACTTACACTGGTACAGTATAAGGTTACTGTACATAAAACTTACTTACACTGGTAGAGTATAAGGTTACTGTACATAAAACTTACTTACACTGGTAGAGTATAAGGTTACTGTACATAAAACTTACTTACACTGGTAGAGTATAAGGTTACTGTACATATAACTTACTTACACTGGTACAGTATAAGGTTACTGTACATAAAACTTACTTACACTGGTAGAGTATAAGGTTACTGTACATAAAACTTACTTACACTGGTAGAGTATAAGGTTACTGTACATAAAACTTACTTACACTGGTAGAGTATAAGGTTACTGTACATATAACTTACTTACACTGGTAGAGTATAAGGTTACTGTACATAAAACTTACTTACACTGGTAGAGTATAAGGTTACTGTACATATAACTTACTTACACTGGTACAGTATAAGGTTACTGTACATAAAACTTACTTACACTGGTAGAGTATAAGGTTACTGTACATAAAACTTACTTACACTGGTAGAGTATAAGGTTACTGTACATATAACTTACTTACACTGGTAGAGTATAAGGTTACTGTACATATAACTTACTTACACTGGTACAGTATAAGGTTACTGTACATAAAACTTACTTACACTGGTAGAGTATAAGGTTACTGTACATTAAACTCAACAAATTATTAACTATTATATTAACAATTAAACAAACAATAAACTCATCAAACAAACGATGAAAACAAAATCAAAGAAAAATGAATAATTCAGCCTATCTTTATCTGTAATGTAGATAATTGGTAAAATGTTGATATTCGAGCTCGTTCGTAAAATTTGATTAAAAGTGCATGTGCTTTTGTGATTGGCCAACAAAATAGAGAACAAGATCCAACAAAACAGAGATTTCTAGTATATGTGGAATGTTATCTGGTTTTACAATGATATTTGTTTATGTGAAAAATGAAACTTATTTTTTATATATGATTTCAGTTGATTTTGATATTCAATACAAAGCAACAAAACAATGTAACTGTCAGCAGCCGTGTGAATTTGTAGAATATCAGTACAGTATATCTTCTGCTATAAGTCCCGCCAGGATATACTTACCATATTTAAGACCAGTATATCAGGATCAAAATTTTACTGGGTAAGTACTTGAATCGGGATGCTTTATACTCTATTTTATCATATGAAAGTGTGGTTTATATTAGACAGGACATGGTACTGGTGCCAAAAAAATAGAAAAACCATCCCTATTTTGGTTATATCGGGCTATTTATAGCATGGGTTTTGCTCATTGTTGAAGGCCGATTGTTAAAATATTCACGTCAATTGGACTCCGGTGAATAGTTGTCTCATTGGCAATCATATCACATCTTCTTATTATTATATTTTCCTGGCCCAAAACATTGCTTCTTAGCAAAGAAGCAGCAGATTTAAATTGTCGAGTCTTTGGTTTAATTAGGCCGGTTAAAGAACAAAAAACCTCCCATACTCGTTTCGAGCAGGCTAAAAATTATAAAAAACAAATCAAGCCGATATCGAAGTGCAGGATACATGGCTGTTGATACCCTCTAGGACCGCAAGAATATAGTCATGGTAAACTGGTAAACACATAAAGACAACTCGATACAATAATATATAAATATAATTAAGATCCATTTTGTTACATCTGGTGATCCGTTTATTTGGCAATCGCCATGGCAGTCAGCAGGGTTTAAGAACATCCGTTGTTCGACCTGCTAGTCAAATGCATTTTGTTAAAATATACTTTTTCACTTTTTTGGTCTTTTGGAAAATGTTGTTTGTGCTGTATTTAGACCCTCTACCAAGAAATTTGTTTTACATGCACACGTATAAAAATTGCGGTTTTTATCCAACGCAATCATAGGTTTGAACGTTGTTTTCAATTTAGACTTGTTTATATTTTTTTGTTTTGGCTTGTATTATATTTGCCTTCGGGTTTATATGATCCGTTCATCCTATTCCGACTCTTCAAAATTCAAGAGTCTATCCTAAATTGAGGTAAATTATATGGCCTTCCAAATACCGTTTCGATTCTTAACATCACTGAAGAGACATTAATTGTCGAAATCCGGATATGGTGTACAAATTTTTGAACCTCATAATTGCGGTATACCATCTTTTCCGCATATTTATTGTTTTCTGTTTGGTATTAAATTAATAATTAAGATCCATTTTGTTACATCTGGTGATCCATTTATTTGACAATCGCCATGGCAGTCAGCAGGGTTTAAGAACATCCGTTGTTCGACCTGCTAGTTAAATACGTTTTGTTAAAATATACTTTTTCACTTTTTTTGTCTTTTGGAAAATGTTGTTTGTGCTGTATTTAGACCCCTCTACCAAGAAATTTGTTTTACATGCACACGTATAAAAATTGCGGTTTTTATCAAACGCAATCATAGGTTTGAACGTTGTTTTCAATTTAGACTTGTTTATATTTTTTTGTTTTGGCTTGTATTATATTTGACTTCGGGTTTATATGATCCGTTCATCCTATTTCGACTCTTCAAAATTCAAGAGTCTATCCTAAATTGAAGTAAATAATATGGCCTTCCAAATATCGTTTCGATTCCTAACATCACTGAAGAGACATTAATTGTCGAAATCCGGTTATGGTGTACAATTTTTTGAACCTCATGTTTGCGGTATACCATCTTTTCCGCGAGTTTATTGTTTTCTGTTTGGTATTAAATTAATAATTAAGTTCCATTTTGTTACATCTGGTGATCCGTTTATTTGGCAATTGCCATGGCAGTCAGCAGGGTTTTAAAATATCCGCTGTTCTACCTGCTAGTCAAATGCGTTTTGCTAAAATATACTTTTTCACTTGTTTGGTCTTTTAGAAAATGTTGTTTGTTCTGTATTTAGACCCTACTACCAAGAAATTTGTTTTACATGCACACGTATAAAAATTGCGGTTTTTATCCTACGCAATCATAGGTTTGAACGTTGTTTTCAATTTAGACTTGTATATATATATATAAACATATAACCAGTCTAAAAGGGTACAACATCACCAAAAATGACAATAAACGAACAAATGTCACTATAAATATTTCGGATAACAGATATCCTTCATCAGTATGAGCACGATGTAAAATGAATCAGATCAATCTATTCTGATTATTAAACTATAGCAATCTTGAATTCTATACAATTAAAAAGTGAAGCAGTTTCACCAGTACATCATATGTAGAGACAATAATAAATTTTTTAAATTTCCAAAAAAGGACTCAAAGACATGCCTTAAATGATCATAGTAATTAGAGATATGAACTGGCACCACTCTAAAATTCCAAAATGACGTCAGTTAAGATGTTACAACTACTGCGTGTAAATACATTCCCAAAAAAACAGCACTGATCGATATAAGCTGGTAAAATATGTCAAACAGAGGCTGCGTATTTATCATCCCAAATAAATAGCAGTTTTATAATGAAAAGAAAAAATAATAGTAAATTTGGGCTAAGGTTAAAAAATTGGACGTGGATGCGTACTTGAACATCCCTACCAAATGAAAAGAACCCTGGTATTAAAACTAGTAAAATTCAAAAAATTCCAAAAGAATCCTTGAAACTGTAAGGGTCAAGTAAAGAAGCCGGAGTAACTGGAAACAAATGATGTCAGGAAAATGAGTGATGGTAGGGAAAATGAGTGACTCATTCTATGTTTTTTCATTTATGCCCTCTGGGGAAACTGTCCTTAGCTTTCTTATCCAAAACCTTTCCCGAGCAAGTCTTGCGGCCCTTGACCAACCTTCGTTGTGGTCTATGATTGTGATTGTAAGGTTTTTGAGATCAGCTTGGGCGTGCCCAGGTAATCTCAAATGACGACTTCCGGGGAGGTCGGGCTTGCAGGTGTAGTCACTTCGATGACCATTCATGCGTTTGTTGAATGGCTGTTCTGTTTCGCCAATATACTGCATGCCACATCGACACTGAAGAAGGTATACAACATTCTGTGTTTTGCAAGTTACATTACAAAATATAGTGTACACAGACCCAGTGGAGTGGCAAGTAAATGTTTGAGTATTCAGTATTTGTTGGCAAGTCAGACATCGTCTGTTACCACACAACTTGCACCATCCTGCAGTTGAACAGTTTTTATTAGAAGAGACGTAAGCTCTCACAAATAAGTCTGTCAGACTTGCTGGTCTCCGAAAAGCTAAGACAGGAGGATTGGGAAAGATCTTGGACAATTTTGGGTGCTTGGCAATAGTTTGCCAATTGGCACGGATCAAACGTGAAAGGTTAGTAAAGGCGGGGTTGTATGTTAAAACAAACGGAACTATTTTGCTGCGCCTCTTCTGTTTGTACTGTAACAGTTCATTGCGGCTGTTGTTATTAGCACGCGAAAATCCCTTATCTATGTCCAATTTCTTATAACCTCGTTTGGTCAAAAAACCGCGAAGTTCCTGTAACCGTTTAGTGACAGCCTCCTCAGAGGAGCAAATCCGCTTTACTCTGAGAGCTTGACTGTACGGGATACTTTTAGTACCGTGTTTGGGGTGACAGCTTTGGGGATAAAGGTACTGATGTTTACCTGTAGGTTTACAGTAGAGATCTGCTGATATGACACCGTCCTTAATAGATGTAGTAGTGTCTAAGAAAGATATTTTGGAGTCGGAAATTTCATATTTAAATTTAATTGACTGGTGTGCGTTGTTTGCATGTCTGATAAAATCATCCAATTTTTGTTGGGATTCAATCCATTTCATGTCAACATCATCGATGAAACGGAACCAAGACAGAGGTTTGGATAAAGATGTTGAAATAATTTGTTTCTCTAATTTTCCCATGAAAATATTGGCGTATGACGGTGCCATTTTCGTCCCCATCGCTGTCCCGTTTATCTGAAAGTAATGTTCACCATTAAAGGTGAAATTGTTGCATTTCAGAACCAGAGTGAGCAGCTGGACTAAACATTTACTTGCCACTCCACTGGGTCTGTGTACACTATATTTTGTAATGTAACTTGCAAAACACAGAATGTTGTATACCTTCTTCAGTGTCGATGTGGCATGCAGTATATTGGCGAGACAGAACAGCCACTCAATAAACGCATGAATGGTCATCGAAGTGACTACACCTGCAAGCCCGACCTCCCCGTAAGTCGTCATTTGAGATCACCTGGGCACGCCCAAGCTGATCTCAAAAACCTTACAATCACAATCATAGACCACAACGAGGGTTGGTCAAGGGCCGAAAGACTTGCTCGGGAAAGGTTTTGGATAAGAAAGCTAAGGACAGTTTCCCAAGAGGGCATAAATGAAAAAACATAGAATGAGTCACTCATTTTCCCTGCCATCACTCATTTTCCTGACATCATTTGTTTCCAGTTACTCCGGCTTCCTTACTTAACCCTTACAGTTTTAAGGATTCTTTTGGAATTTTTTGAATTTTACTAGTTTAAATACCAGGGTTCTTTTCATTTGGTAGGGATGTACAAGTACGTATCCACGTCCAATTTTTTAACCTTAGCCCAAATGTACTATTATTTTTTCTTTTCATTATAAAACTGCTATTTATTTGGGATGATAAATACGCAGCCTCTGTTTGACATATTTTACCAGCTTATATCGATCAGTGCTGTTTTTTGGGAATGTATTTACACGCAGTTGTTGTAACATCTTAACTGACGTCTGTTTGGAATTTTAGAGTTGTGCCAGTTCATATCTCTGATTACTATTTTCATTTTAGGCATGTCTTTGAGTCGTTTTTTGGAAATTTTAAAAATTCATTAGCGTCTCTACATATGATGTTCGGGTGAAACTGTTTCACATTTTTTTTATTGTGTAGAATTCAAGATTGCTATAGTTTAATAATCAGAATAGATTGATCTGATTCATTTTACATCGTGCTCATACTGATGAAGGATATCTGTTATCCGAAATATTTATAGTTACATTTGTTCGTTTATTGTCATTTTTTGGTGATGTTGTACCCTTTTAGACTGGTTATATATTATATTTTGTAGTGTACTGTATCATATTTATATGATCCATCGCCCCGTAAGATTTATCGTTGGCTATTATTCAGTCATTTTATATATAAACATATATATATATATATAAAGTGCCTAGAAAATCAATCTACAGAGTAGATCTGATTCTTTACTTCTACCCCGAACGTGTCTGATTGGATTAACGTGTGAGGTATATGTGTGTCATATGGTGATTATAACTCATTTAAACTCATTTTTTGCAGAAGGAACTACCTTGAGGTTAGACTTTTCTTTGACTCTTTGAGCTATACATTAGTTGAATCGTTTCCAGAGTATTCAAGGATTGAAGTTATTGGTATGTTATCGTTTTCATTATTGTTCAAAATGGAAATATCTGTGCAATGGTTTCAAACACATTGTCGCTATATTTGATAAAATCATCTTTAAGTTATGGTTTTTTGTCATAATAGTATAACATTGGTGAAACTAATCAGACAACAGGATCAATAAATTAAGCCTGTCTTCACTAAAAATCTTACGAACGAATTTTTTCCTAATATGATGCATTTTGATCCCTTTTCTAAATCTAAATATTTCCTTTTTTTACAATTTTGATATAACTATACATCTTTAAAGGATTATATTTAATAATTTATATCCATGCCAGATACAATCTGAGCAAAATAAAATAATATTCAATGTGCAAAGGGGAGGAATAAACAAAACATGTTACCAATTTTAAACACGCAATAAATTTTGAAGTATTATGGTAAGATATGTGATGTGAATGTTTTATGTGTCTCTCGTGATCTCTTGTTTCCGGGATATGTTTTTTCAGGTACAGTACGAACTTCGGGGCTCGGGTATCGGTACAAGCGTTTGAAACCAAACATATAAAAAAAAATAAAATATAAACTTCAATTGTCATATTTGTATGAGGTACACTCGACTTTTGTCTAAATATGATCTCTTAGTTTTTTGGTAATAAAGATATTTGCAGTAAGATGAATAATTGAAACGCCAGTATAGACACTGATAATGCACTGGAATCGGTACCCTCTTACTTTTAGCAATTAAAGGTTATACATAGTAAGCAGAACAAAGTTAAGTATTAAAAAAGATCACCAAAGATACCAGGCTTATTATTTTATAGCCCAGACGCGCGTTTTGTCTTCAAAAGACGCATTAGTGACGTTCGAGACAACAAATTTAAAAGGCCGAAACAAGAACGAAGCTGAAGAGCATTTAGGACCCAAATACAACTAACAACAATTTGAATCGATAGTAATGAACACTATTGAACAAAGAGCAATAGTAAATTTTCTAATGTTATGAGATTGCTGATTGATAGAAGCCGCATTACCGGTTAAATCCATGCCTCTTTAATATCTGTCTGGAACTAAATCCTGCTAAAATTGAATATCAGAATTTCAAAGTCCCAATGGAAAAAATAAACAATGCATGGAATTGTTGTGAAATGTCAAACATTTGTGCGCTTTTTGTGTTTAGACGCTCTCAAAAACCATCGACATAACCACCGAAAGGAGTAAGTTCGATAAGGCCCTAAAATGGTCTTTTTGTTGAAAATGTAGGTACTTGCGTTCAATTCATGGCGTCACTAATAGCACTCATTTTTCACGAAAATTCAATGACAACGAGTAAATGTCCATTATTATATTGGACAGGAAACATAGAGCGCATGCGTTGACAAAAAATATTTTTCATGTGTTTGTTATAACACTTTACAAATCTGACTTGAATATTAAGTTTCTTGGTGCCTGCGCTCTTTGTTTCCTAGTCCTTATTTTGGTTGACATCTGGTCGATTTGGTCAAATTTTGCAAAAGTTACTATTTTTGTCTTATTTGGGATATTCTATTTAACTTTTTCACATGCCTTTACATAAACTTAAAACACTTTTTTTTATCTTGAAACATTGAACATAATAATCAGGGCCAAATATGTCCCTTACCGACCTTATTCCTTTGCCAGGCGTCATACGAACCTGATATGCAGATAAACATGGATTCTAAAATCGATTTTCCGGCTGGCTTCCCTTGTTTCATTTTTCAACTTGATATTTTGTTTAATACATAAACATTCTTCACAAATGCAAATTTATCTCTTACTTGGGTCACATCAGAAGTCGGTACACACGTCTCAAATGGAGGTCGAATTAATGTTTTGCAGGACAATTATGTTTCAGCAACGTGCTGATGCTTATGTTGACAAAATTTTACCAAACTTGCTACAAACAGCGAATTATCAAATTTGTTCTTGTAAATGTTAGGAACAAACACGTAGTCTTGGCTCCCACCAAACAGCAAGCTAAACAGGGCCCCAAAATGACTAGTGTAAAACAATTCAAACAGGAAAACCAATGGTCTAATTTATATAAAAAACGAAAAACGAGAATCACCTATGAACCACACCAACGACGACAACCACTGGACAACAGGCCCCTGACTAAGGACAGGTGCATAAAAATGCAGCTGGTTTAAACGTTTTAAACTTTTAGGTAAAATCTAAATCAGTCTATTCTAGCTAGCTATAAAACCAGGTTTAATCAACCATTTTCTACATAAGAAAATGCCTGTACCAAGTCAGGAATATGAAGTTGTAATCCATTCGTTTGAAATGTTTGCGCTATTGATTTTGCCATTTGAGAAGGTACTTTCCGTTTTGAATTTTCCTCGGAGTTCTGTATTTTTGTTATTTTACTTTCTATTAGTAGGGTATACTGATACGGCGGGAAGCTTCAAGTGTTTCCGGAATAATATTAATCAGTTATTGTTTGTACAAACGGGTGAGGAAATTAAGTAATTCATTATGCAATGTACATAACATGTTGTTTCTATTTCCATTTTAGGAATACTTGGTGGCATGATGGCATTATTTTTAGGCGCTAGTTTGCTAACTTTGGCAGAGGTAGCTGAACTGTTTATAATGTGTTCTGTCATTGGTTTAAAGAATTATGTCAAAGATATCAGAAGTAAAATAGCAAATAGACGCTGAAATAACAATTCAAACATTAAGTATTGATGTATTTCTGTATTTAAAAGATTTGTGTAAATGCTTGAATAAAATTTAGTATATGTTCCGTGTATATATTATGTTTGGAGCAACTTTGTCATTTGAAACCGACATCTGTAAATAAAAAAAGATTTGAAGAAGATCAGAGGCTAATCAGAAGTAGAAAATCTGACGAATATATAACAATTTTTTTAGAAATAAAGTAAAACACAAAACCTTTCTTTCAAAAAATACAATTGTGCAACAGAGACCTTATTGAAAACTTGGATGATATTATGCGTCCAAGCTACTCCTAATATTGAAAATCATCTTAATCATCTTAAAATTAAATGAGAAGAAAGTACCGTTCAATGATTTGGATAATGCCTATAGCAACCTGAAGAAATTTGGTCATCTTTGAAACAGCTATTCAGTGAAACGGATTACATGGCGTTGTCAGTTTATTTTCGTATTATGAGTTTGAATGTCTTTTTGGTACCTTTCTCCTGTCTTTTTGTACCTTGAAGTTTGGTGTTTTAGTTGGTCTAGTAAGTTCATTCATTTCGTTAAAGTAACGATAAAATTAACGGACTAACTGGAAGAACAAAACCGAACAAAATACCGGCATTCACCGTACAAGTACATAGTCACGGCAAAATGGAGACGTTTATTTCAAGATTTATACTTAATTGGAATAAATAACTGGCATATAATTACTAAGTCTCAAATCCTGTTTTCATTGGCAATGTGTCTTTACTAAGGTAGGAATAAGATATATCATCACCAATCGTTCCAAAGATAATCATACATGTATGAAGTGTTTTTTTTTTTCTAATTTCTAATGAAGTCTAATTCGGATAAAAGTGTTAAGAATTGTTTGAATTGTTAACAACCGTTTCTAAATATCTTTTCGGTTTTGTTTCGTTCGGTTGCAGTTTCATTCATATTTAACTCCCGTTTCTCTTTCATATTAAAGACGGATAGATGTATGCCATATGATTTCTCTCTGTACTATATTGTAGAAAGGAAATAATTGGATCCACGTCTAGATTTACCCTTAACATTCTTTACCAGGCTGAAGCTAGCGAACAATGAGGCGATATATATAAAAAACGAAAAATTACAACAGACAACAACAGCTGTTCAAAAAGATACTAGCGAACAATATTCCAGCAAACAATAAGGCGATATATCTTATAACCGAAAAATTGCAACAGACAGCAACGGCCGTTCGAAAACAGTATTTAAAAAGCAAAAAAAAACGTCCAGAAATTGCAATTTATCTGCCTTAAAAACAGGATTTACCAAATATATTTATAAAACAAGCCCCACCCCTTTTAAGGGTAACATTCGGTTTTACAGTAAATCCGCACAACGGATTGTTTGTAGAGACCAGACCACCAATTCACCAACGTTAATTTAGAACATATGCAAAAGTAGCCCTTCCTTGACAACAAATAGTGCCTTTGGTGTAACTGTTTACTAAAATAACAAACACGTTTGTAGAAATGAAACTTTTGATGAAAGAGAAATATATGTAGACCATTTTGAGCCAAAATTTGCTTGTCCATGATTTTGAATTAAAAATTGAGGATTAATGCGCTCCATGGTATACTTATTTAAGATTACCAGAAAGTAGCAGTTGCATTCCGAACGGTGGTGTTTCACTGCAAGTTTTTAAACATTGGTTAAATAATTGTCATATAGAAAGGTGATACATGTACTATTCCGTCAGAATATACCTGGTTTCTGTGAAGTTTAACTTAACGTAAACAATTAAGAAAGCTGTAAAAACTGAAGAAAAAAAATTGATTGGTTCTATAGGGGTTTTATTCTAGGGATCTGACACCTAAAGGTCGAAATGAATTTTGTTCAAAACAACTATGCAACTAGAGGATATTAAAAGATATTGAAATTGATCGGTAAAAAAAAATTCAAATATAACAACATGACAATCCGAGTCTCCCATAGATATAAAGATTTGGTTTTGAAGTTTGGTTGTATCTGTAGAAAACTTATTTCAAACGGGATAGCACATCCTAATTTTTACGGAGATGTTGTTTACCGAGCCCGGAAATTTAGACACGAATCGGGTAAACTTATCGATCCGTTAAATAAACTTATTCTAAAAGGTTACCAATTCAAAACTGTAATTAGATATTTGAATATTGTTTTCATTGGTATTAAAATTGATTTTGTTATTCGTAATTTAAAATCAAACTTAACATTATTTTTATATACATATGCACATTCATGGCTCTACAATCTGTCGATACCTGTATCTTGCCAGTGCAGAAGGTCATGTTTTTCTCCGACTGTCTCTGACGTCTTGCTCAAAATCCATTGGATTTTGGATGTGTACTGATTGATATTTTAGCCTGTTATGTATGATTTTTTTGTTATTTGCTTTGAACTAGCTGTCAGTAACTGCGAGTACTCTCAGATCTGTACTTAGTGTCATTTTGTTGTGGGGATGTATAAGTACCCGTACGCTTCCACTCTGTGTTTTTGTTAGATGTATTTCTATTTGTATTTATCTGACGACTTAAGCCTTTTTTCAACTGATTATTATAGTTTGTTCTTATGTTGTACTGTTACACCACTGTCCCAGGTTAGGGGAGGGTTGACGCCTTCAAACGAGTTTAACCCCGCCACATTCTGTATGTGCCTATCCCAAGTCAGGAGCCTGTAATTCAGTTGTTGTCGTTTGTTGCTGTGTAACATATTTGTTTTTTTGTTCATTATTTTTGTACATAAATTAGGCCGTTAGTTTTCTCGTTTGAATTGTGTTACATTTGTCATTTCGGGGCCTATATAGCTGACTATGCGGTGTGGGCTTTGACCATTCTTGAAGGCCGTACGGTGACCTATAATTGTTAATTTCTGTTTCATTGGTCTCTTGTGGAGAGTTGTTTCATTTGCAATCATACCACATCTTCTTATTCTTATATAGAAAGGTTGAAATATAAAAAATGGATGGGTTGACCTATTCCAGGGCTTCTAGAGAATATAATTGGGAGGTGTCACAATGTATAACTATATAGGTATTGTAGAGGAGATACAGGCGCATCTTTGGCGCAACGTTTTGACAGCCACTTTGTTCCAAAATCTGAAACTAGGGCTCGAAATGTGAAGCATTCGGATGAAGAACAGGGAATTGGCCTATTCCATGGCTTCTAGAGAAAAATAATGGGGGATGTCACGGGGTATGGCTATATAGGTATTGTAGAGGAGATACAAGCGCATTGTTTGCGCAAGGTTTTGAGAGGCGCTATGTTCCAAAATCTAAAATTAGTGCTCGAAATTTGAAAAGTTCAAACGAAAAAAGGAGGGGTTGGCCTATTCCATGGCATTTAGAGAAATATAAAGGGTGTCACATGATATGGCTATATAGGTATTGTAGAACAGATATAAGGGCATCGTTTGTGCATTGTTTTGAGAGGCGCTATGTTCCAAAATCTGAAACTAAGACTCGAAATTTGAAATATTCAAACGAAAAACAGGGGGGTTGGCCTATTTCTTGGTTCTAGAGAAAAATAAGGGGGTGTTCACAGGGTAATGCTATATAGGTATTAAAGAGGAGTTACAGGCGCATCGTTAACGAGTTTATATTTGTAAAGGTAGGTATTGCAGAAGGTATTTAAGTATCGGCAATGTATACAGGCAATGTTTTCCAACGTGTGTTTAACGTTTGTGCTCATCACGGGAGAACTACGTTTTTCCCACGCGTGTATCACACCATTTAAACGTTTATATCACGTGTATTTTACACACATGAGATTCTCACGTGATAATCACGTTTTAATCTGCTCACGTGATATTCACGTTTAAATGTAACATTATCATCACATGTAAATTTTTTAACGTGATTTTAACGTGTAAATATTGTGTTAATTTCACATGTAGATTTTTTCACTTTATTTTAACGTGTAAATGTTGTGTTATTTTCACGTTTATTTTTTCACATGATTGTGACATGTGAATTTCATATCAATATCACATGAATAACATATGTAAGTGCAAGTTGTTTTTTTCATTGGCCATGTTTGATGTTCATGTGTCAAGTGAAAACTCAAGGTAATGCATCTGTCATTTAAATGTTACCTTAAAATATCTAACGAGTTATTTTGCTGAAATTTGACTTGATATGTGCTGAAACAGTAATTTATTCATAGAATTAACAGAACATTATCTACATTTCAACAGCATATTAAGATTATTTTACACTTAAGCATCACATTCTATATGGGAAATGGTTTTCTTAGCAAATAATATATACTACTGTCACAGAAAAAGTAATAGCCTACATGTACATGTACCTCGACTTTCAGTGCAAGCAACTCATATACAGTTATTATCACTAGTGATGCGTTGATTTTAAGCAAAAGCTTTAAACTTCTGAAGTTTTATTAGTATTTAATTGAAAACAGACTATTGTAACCATAGTTTTGATAGTACAACATAAAAAGTCACCAATTGCAAAAAATGAAATTGTACGTGTATTGTATGTTGTTTAATGTACAATGTTATTCCTTCTAATGAGTAATTCTGAATTAACAGACTAATTATAAATATACATTGTACTTTATTATGCTCCAAATGATTGAGTTTTTTCCTTTATTTCCTGTTCTATTTTTTAAAATCTTCCTTTACTTGAAGTTGACAATGGTCTTCAATATAGATTCACAAGAGGTATATTCTGTAACAAATCTTTTTAACTGAAATAAAACTCATTTCATGTTCTGATATCTTCTTTTCACAGTCTTGTTGTTATAATGATTTACTGCTTCAGACAGTTATTTCCTCTTTTTATTCCTAGAAGATGTTTCACTCTGCCAATTTTTTCGCAAACATAAGAAAAGTAGTAAGAACAGAGAAATTGTAATAATAGCTTATTAATTTTGTCGTTGAATTCAACTGGTACTGAATATGCTCTAAATAGAAGATGCAAAACTACATCATATATATGTTTTAGTTTATGATTATTTTATTTGAACAATTGACTAAAATAGGATCGGATCAGACACAAGTTTTTCTTCTGTATACAAAAGGATAATATATCATCAACTTGAGTATGCATACATA